AAGTTAAGAGAGAACAAAGCTACGCAATTCAGTTTAATCTAACAAGTTGTCTCAACTATACCGGCAGGATAATAATTCGGCGGCAAAAATGCGAAGCCTCTCTTCAAGGTTAACACCTGATAGAAATATTAACGTGTTTTTACAATAGCGATACCACGCTCTGACTAAACGTTTCGCTACATTAGTTTAAATACACTCCTTCACACTAGCTAATATACATCCTGGTGAGGGAAAGCGATTGGAATAAGAAAAAATAGAAAAAGCAAAGAAATTAAAATAGCAATTAGTAAAAATAAATGAAACCTTATAATTTTAAACCTTCTTCAGTGTTTGTGTATTGTTAAGATATAGCGATACATAACTATTAGTCTAAAGTTGTAGAGTTATTAGTATTTTTTAAAGCAGCAGACGTGAAATATGAGCAATGCCCTCGCCGGAACTCGAACTTGGACCTCTCGAATACGCGTCGAGTGTGCTAACCATTACACCACGAAGGCACGCAGAAAGGAAGGACGGGATATATACTCCCACTTTTAACCTCTTCGACGTCCGTAACGCGTCTAGCGCGTTCAAGTGAAACTTCCGCAGGGCGGCCATGACGCGCCTCAAGCGTTCTTCTACATTTTAAAACTTTTAAACATTTAAAACGCTTTCTAAATGTTTACTTGAGTTTTTATTTTGTTTGTTCTAATACCTTCTAGAGGGTCGCACTCATCAGCATTCTATTTCTAATTGAATTGCCCCGTTTCAGAATATTCGCGCCATTTTGCGTAAGATACAAGACAGTGAGAGATAGCTTCAACGTCTACTCCGCAGAAAAAGAGAAAAAGTGAGGTTGTGAATTTGAAAGACAGGAAGGATATACGTTTGATGAGTGCAGTCCATAATAATTCGATGATGGATACTGGAACACGGAAAAGAACTGTAAAAAAAAAAGTAATTGTAAAAGATTACAACAACCAAATGGGAGAAGCGGACCGCCTGGATCAGATGTTATCAAATAAATTATCCTGCTGTTAGAAATAAGCAGAGATATTATTATTTTTCATCATGCTTTATTTCCTTATAATTTTTCTTAATATAAATTGATATTTATCCACTACGAAAGTCATGTATGGAAAGTTATGATGTACAGAGAAAACAACATTACACGCTACGAAAAACAGACGGCCGCTTGGGGGGGGGGATTTCCGCGGACAGGAGAGGACGGCGAAAGGGTTAAAGGGCAACTGGGGATTAGGGGACACAGTCCTGGTGGTGAAGAATCATCATCCACCACCTTTTAGTTCGGTGGTCGCTGTACAGACATTAGTTTTTTTGGGGGGGAGAAGCAGAGGTGCATGAAAAATGAGCAGTGCGCTCGCCGGGATTTGAACCTGGACTCTCTGTCGAATACGTGCCGAGTGTGCTACCGTTACACCACAAAGGCATACATAAAGGAAGGAGTAAATACCTAATAAAGAGCTTTGAGGTCCGGATTATAGATCATTCCGGATTATGGACGTCCGGATTAAAGACTTTGTACTATAGCGCATTTTACATGGCCCAAAGGGAAAAAACTTTCCTTTCTTTTCCTTCCGCAACATGACAGAATACGAATTTCCCCTTAATGCATAAGGTACATTAATCGCATTCAGATGACGAAATGAGTGTTCGTAGTTTAGCACTTAATTTGATGCAGTTATTGTATTTTAGTCATTATTATTAGACAAAGACGAGCATTGTGCTTCGAAATACTACACATTGAGTTTAAAGTTTTTTTTTTTTTTTTTTTTTTTTTTTTTTTTTTGTGTGTGTGTGTGTGTGCTGAGCGTTAAATTGCAGTTTCCAGATACTGTGGCAAACCTACGAGACCATTTCACACTTTAAACTGAAAATATCTATGCCTAAATGTGCATAACATTTACCTGCTGTGTGTTTTATCAATAAATAAATCAAATTTTCACCTTTCATCAGTTACGTAACTTTTGGGGTATCGGGTTCTATTGTACGAAAACTAGAAGAAATTCTTTTTTGCCAAGTCGCTACTTGGCAACAAAGTCAAGAGTAGAAGCTGGCGTTAGGGCCAAAGGAATCAATTAGAGAATTGTAATCATTGCCATGTTTGATATGTATTGATGATACTTGAAAATATCCTGTTACAGAAATATGTTTTCTTTTTGCAGTCAGTCAAGACCAATAGACTTCGTTTTGCCCAGTATTCCTCCGGCTTTGGCGGCACTAGCTAGTCCTGGAGCTGCAGAGACGACCTCGCTATCATCGAGTGAATCTTCGGATATCCCTTTGTGGGCTAGACTAGCCTTGCTAGAGCCTGGTCAGTTCTGTCTCTTTTTGTTTGAATTTTAATGCTTCTCTCATTTTCCTATGAGATAATTATAAAATGATTCGCACCTTTATCTGTTAACCGTTTACATGCCAACGTTCCTTTTTTGGAACACCATGTTTAATATTTTTTTAAAAAATAATCTGTCATGTCTGTCAGTTTGAAAAATTACCGTTTGTTATAGAAAGTATGATCGATTTTTTGACATAAAATTTATTTCTCAAATATGAATATTTTAGCGTAGAAAATTTTCTAAAAATTTGCTTTTTTTTTTTTTTACGATTTTTTACAATACTTAAAAAAACAAATTCAAATTTACCCAAGCATTTCCCCGTCGTACTTGCAAAGGACAACTTTAGTGAGTTAATAAAAGAAATTTAAATAATAACAAAAAATATTTCTTCAAGATTGCCTAAAATTGCAATGTTCCAAAAAAGGAACATTGGCATATAATGATATATAAAATAAGCGATATCACTATATTTTTCTTTATTAGATTTTAAATACATTCATTGCTCATACCTTGTAAACATACCTTTTTTTAGAGGCATTAATGGTATGTCATTTATTTCTGTAGAAAGGAGGGAGCGGAGGAATGGAAGGGGGTATGACCTCTCTCACGAAGGGGGGGGTAACTGGTTTCAGTTGTATTTCCTGTTTTGAGCTCCTATATCTCCTTGTTTCTTTTGTTAGAAATGACCACATCTGCTTCACACTGTGTGTTTATATTAGGTCTTTCGAAAAGTTCGAGGCCACCAGTGGCCGAGCGGTAAAGTCGCTGAACACTGGTAGTTCGGTCCGAGGTTCAAATCCCGCGAACGGGCTGGTTGCATAGATGTTTTCGTCGTTTCCCTCTATGTGTAACGTGTATACGAGCCAGTTTCCCTTAGAGAAAGTCCTCCACAAAGGCATCCCTCCCCTTAGGCAGATAGCCTTAGTGTGCTTTGCAGTATTCTCAATAAAACAAACCAATCGAAAAGTTCGAAAAATAAAAATTTGCCGCTTAGATCAAAAGTTGTCTCTGAACTATTATTTTTTATTGGGAATCCAGAGAAACACAAAATATTTTTTGATAACTTTATTTCATCGCGCAGTCTGCTGACAGATTTGTCTAGCAAAGGCTTTAAAGCCATTGGCGAACTGGCAATTTGGTACCAGCAAAAAAGATGAAAACAGCACGAGCCATCAGTTGATTCCAGCGAATGATCTGGCCACCTAGATCGCCCGACATGAATCCCATCGAACATTTATGGGACATCATCGAGAGGTCTCGCATAGCTCTGACTGGGTAGCAGAGTTGCTTGCTGGGCTGCATCGAATTTCATGGCGTACACTAAAGCGCTTTTCAAATCTTTAACATCCGCCATTCGCAGTGCTTTCTGAATTTCAGAGTCGCGGATGCCATCGATGAAATATTGCAGCGACAGGATTTCTCTTTTTTCTGTCAGGAACTCCGAAAAGGCGTGATGTGAGCCTTTCAACATGCGTGGCGAGCTCCTGAAGCGTTTCGGTGGGCTTCTGTTGACGGGATTTTAGTTGAAGCCTGCTGTAGTCTTTTAAACATTTCTCGCCAAAGCGCAGCTCCAATGCGCCGGATATAGCTTCGAAGTCAAGTCTCTGGTTTTCTGGAAGCGTCTGCAAGATGTACGCTGCGTCTGCTCTCAGATAAGCGGCAAGATGACAGGCCTTGGCTTGGGGATCCTATCCATTTGCTTCTGCCACTATAGAAAACTGTGTCTTATATACTTGCCAGGAGGTCTTCCCATCATATGTCGATAGCTTCAGAGAGGGACGAGCAGGCATGGGTAGAAATTTTAAACCATCCGAAGTGCTCCCTGCTGTCGCTACGAATTTCTTTAAAGTGTCAACTTCTTTGGCGACGACAGCAGAAATTCTGTCTTCGATTTGTTGTTCAATATGTCCTTGGACGGCAGAAACTCTTTCTTCAATTTGTTGTTGGAAGGCCGAAACTCTTCCTTCGACTCGTTGCTGAACAGCCGACACTCTATCTTCTATTTCATCTTTGACAGAAGAAAACGTTTCTTCAATTTGCACGACTTTATTTTCGACAGCGCCTATTCTGTCTTCCATAGCCTCAAATTTACTTTCTATTACGCAGGTTATTTCTCTTTTCATTTCGTCTTGACCTGCTTCAATCTTTTCTTTGTACAGCTTTTATGTCTTCTTTAAAAGTTACTTGACCAGCTTCCATTTCCTTTTTAACGGATTCTTCCATCTTTTTCTGACCAGATTTCATCTCATCTTTCTTTTCTTCTTGTCCCGCTTTCATTTCTTGTTGCCCCGTTTTCATTTCCTCTTTAATGCAGCAAAGGCTGATATCAGCTGTTTTAACTGCTCTTCCATCGTTCTTGTGATTGGCATTCCAATCCCACTTCTGACACCTAAAATTGTTGCGTGCGTACAGGTTCATTACGAAATGAATGCAAAAGTGCGATGTAAAACGAAGAAAATATATTATTATCACAACTGATATGATTAAATGTCCTCAAATAATCGTGCAGTATCACAATATATCACAGTAGTATCTTCTAACTACTCAAACATTCAAGAGAACTTAATTCAAAACAGCTAAAGAAAGCTAATCCGCGAATTCGCTACAGTCAACAAGAGCAGTTTTCTAAACAAACTCTTAAAATAACAACAAACTAAATTAACTACAACGAATTGAGAGGTTTTCCTCCTTTTTATCATATTTAAAATCGCGCGCGAGAAATTTCTGGAACTTTCACGAAATCAAAAAGAGATATTTATGTATTAAATGTTACATGCACCGCTCTTATATTTTCAATTTTCCGGTTCCGGTTATTCCGCAATAAAACCATTTAATTTATAGTTGAACTAACATTAGCTTTTTTAAATACCAAATTCGTAACAATACGTACAGAAAAATCTTTTCTGAGTCCATTTTAAATCCTTTTTGCAACCAGTTTTGGGAAAAAGAGTCCTTTATTCTATCCTTACATGCAGATATCATGCGAAAAGATCATTAAATTGCATTTCATAGCGCTCAAAATGGACATTTTCGTTAAAATATGCTAACCGAAAATTTTCACAATTACAATTTTCCTTTACTTCGTACAAGGAAGTAAAAAGGAAAAACAGAAGCCTGGTGTCCTAGAATAATCACTATGAAAAGAAAGTTATGTTCATTTACCTTTTTACTTCCTTGTACGAAGTAAAAAGGAAGTATTGTAATCGCGAAAAGTTTCCGGCAGAATATTTCAACGAAAATATCCATTTTGACCGCTATCGAATGCAATTTAACGATGTTTTTGCATGATATCTGTACGTAAGGACAGAATAAAAGACTCGTTTCCTCCAAAAAAATATAAAACTGCTTTAAAATTAATTCTGAAGAGAGTTTTTCGTGGCGTCTGTACGAACGTATGTACGTACGTACGTTCGTGCGTACTTACGTATCTCTCATAACTCAAAAACGAGTAGCCTCAGAACATTGAAATTTTGTATATAGGACTGCTATAACATGTAGATGTGCACCTCGTATTTGGGTTGCAATCGGCAGCACCCAACGTATATAAATACTATATTTATATCCACTTTGTTACTCGGCACAGTGATCTCAGTTTCTTTACTCTTATACGTTTGTAAATTGTACATTTTTTGCTTTAAAAATGATCGAATTATGTTATTCTTATCTTCCGGTTAAGGTTTTTATGCCTTTCGTAATTCTGGAAGCAATATTTGTACAATTATCAACAATTAAAAAAGCTTTTAAGTGCGGTTAAGTTTTAAATAACATGGCGGGCATATTTGTTTACATTTGAAACAGCAGAATTGTAGATTTGTTGCCAATAGAGAGACTAAGCTTCGCACAACAAAATAACGCCTTCATTTATTATTGCGAATTAAATCATGCTTAATCCTTTCTGGAATTTTTTCGAGGAAATAGTGTTTATGATTTACTTAATTTTTATAATTAGTATTTTTAATTTTTAAATAATTAGTATTTTTTAATACAATATTTTTAAGCTTTTATGTATTTTTGTCTTGTCGCGAAGTGAAAACTGAATTAATTGAATGAGAATACTCAATCGTCTGTGACAAACTTTTTTTTTTTTTTTTTTTGCTTAATTTCTTTTTTACATCGTTCTAGCTTTATTATAGTATTTGAAAAGAACATATGGCAACGATTAGATAATTCTTTAAATGATATACTTTTTGTTCATTCTGAGTTATAATATGAATGAAATATAATACTGTTAAGTGAACCTAGTGTCAGAGTATCGCTATGTTAAACAAATAGAGTGAATTTTAAAGGATGCCTTTATTCTATTGTGGTTTTATGCGCTGTCGGCGAAGTAGATTTAATTAAATCCAATAAGTTTAAAAGAAATGCAACAAATGCGTTTAATTTAATATTCCGTACAAGAAAGTCATGTGGTGTACACATCAGATTTTTTATGTTCAAAGAAGAAAAGGAAATAAAATTTCTTTGTTAGTGTAAGTTTCCCAGACGCGAATCAGTTTTCTTCTTAGAACACCAAAAAACATCTAGAGGAAAAAATTAACTGAATAAAAAAATGAAAGTAATTGCAAAATATCTTTTCCTTGTTTAACTTGAATCTAACCTTTCTTGCAACGAGCATTGTTGGTAATACGAGATCCTCTAGAGGTGTCTGCAGAAAATGTTAGATAGCAAGAATTCCGGTCTCCTTTTGATGACGAGGAAAAGGAGACGGAGATATCACATGTACAAAACGTTTCTATGGCAACCTGTCTTTTGTTTTCTTTTACCTTGCGTTTCAGAAAGGAATACCGCATTTTTTAAAGCCCTATTTTCCAGTTTTTATCCCTTTTTTGTGTCCCTTAAGTTTGTAAAACTCTTTTCCGTAAAAGATTTTGTTTATTTTAAAGAGTGCTTTCGGATTTAGATGATTCTATTTTAGTATTCTTTTTTCTCTGATGATCTTCATCATTAATGAAGGGGAAGAGCTCAAGATTTTTTATTC